ACTACTACTACTACTACTACTACTACTACTACTACTACTACTACTACCGCTACCACTACCACTACCACTTCTACTTACCACTACCATTCCTACTACGACTACTACTCACCACTTACTACTACTACTCCTTCTTCTTCACCTTCTTCTTGTTACAACTACTACGTACTACTAACTACTAACTACTCCTCCTCCTCCTACTACGACTGCGACTATGACTACTACAATGTATTGCCATTACGACTGCCACTGCCACTACTAGAACCAACACCACCACCACAACGATTGCCACAACTCCTACTCCTACTCTTACCCCTTCTTAGCACATTATATATTCAGGTGGAGTGGGCATCAACCTTCTTGGTCATGGTGATCGTAAGTTACATTCCCATGTGGTGATATTACGGTCCACCCTCCATTACAAAATAAAAAGTCCACCCTGCAACGGCGCCAACACCCAACCTCAGAAGCGCACACGGCCACATTCCGCAGCAGCACCAGCACTACCCATATTCCAACGTGCACACGGCCAGACATACATGGCAGCGGCGCCCTACAACAACGCCAATGTCCAAGTATCCTGCAGCGGCACCAACACCCAGGCTCTTCCCACTTTCAAAAATAGAACGCATCGAATGACCAACCGTGGTGCTGCAGCGATACCAACACCCAAATTGGAAAGCGCACGCATGCAACACTCCCTATATTTAAAATATGAATCTCAACAGTTTTCGCTACCTTGACAAATTCACTATCTCTAAATTTCGGTAAATCCGGAAACAACAACTAAACTTGAGAGGAGGGAGACACGAAAGGTAGGACAGCGGGAAGAGAAGAGAACGCGAGAGGCAGGAACAAAAATGCAATGTTCGACATGGTGATTTATCCTGTCGGAGGCGACCTTTCGTAAATATATGTTCATATGCACTGTAAATGTTCAAACATGTGCTCTCGAAATGTTCAAAAAGATTCTTAGGAAAACAAACTTGCCCCATGGCTCAGATCATCGGTGAGCATTGAATCGGAACATCATAGGATTTGAACTATCCTGAAACCATAAGAGGCTCACGAAGACGCTCCCCAGGAGAGAATTGACGTGCTTCACAAAACGTATCCCCTCGGGGAACACCTTTCGTGATTAGAATTTCATATTCACTCTTTCTAAATGTTCAAGAGGGTTTCAACTATCCTGAAATCATGAGAGGCTCACGAAGACGTTCTCCAGGAGAGAATTGATTTTAGAGGGGGGGAGGGGGGGGGGGTCTGAATTGAGCGATCAATTATTAGACCCGGACGTCCCAACACTTGCTTCGCAAGACAAACTCAAGGTATCCCCTAAAGGGCTACCTTTCGTGACTTAATGTTATATGTCAACAATTGTTAATCTTGGCCGTTCCTGCAAACGGTTGCTGACCCTTGCCTTTGTTTCCTTTTCCGACATGTGGCTGATACCATTGCGGGGTATAGGACTTGTTCTTTCCTTTGCCTTTACCAAGGAAGGAGGAGTCCGGATCTTCATATTCGCATTGTATTTCTGTCATGCGCGAACTGCCTTTGCCCCGACCACGGGGTCTAAATCCTAGCCTTCTTCACCTTTTCCTTTTCCTTTGCCTTTCCTGAATTTCCGGCCGCGGATTTTCCTTCTACGATAACCTTGTCCGTCAGCCTTCAGCGCAAGAAAATAATCTTCGTCGTACAGCGCCATGAAACCTTGTTCACATATGGTTTCATCGGTCACACAGTAGCCTTCTTCGCCATCCATGGTGCCGTATTCCTCAATGAAATATGTTCGACGCCTACGACGGCTAGGGCGGTATTGAAGCTGTGGATCGCTAATACTAGTTCTACTTACACAGAAAAGTTGTAGAAATTGTGTCTTGACTGCCTGATACTCGTAGTTTTCCATTGGAATGTTTTGTGCATTCATTGTTGATACCAGTCGTTCTCGCTGTTGCTCGTTCAAATCTGCCTGCGCAATGAATATCATGGCAATCAAATTCGCAGGTAGTGGGAATGCGGCTTGATGTGCTTGTCTGGCTACTTCTATTCGTTGATTCCAAATTTCCTGCACAGCAGCGGGTCTGTCTTCTGGGTCCATCGTTGCAATTTCAGCACGTTGCGCTGCAGTCAAGGTGTTGCTGGAGTCAAGGTGTTAGTAAATTCGACTGTTTGTGGTGCCGGAAAGTCTCGATAAAGGTCCATCCACGGGTTTTGCAAATGTCTCATGGTGATTTCGAAAAGACCAATCCAAATGACCATTTCACGGGAACCACGCCATTGTCGAAACAACTAAAGGAATCGACTTAAGAACACGTGTTTCTACATCTACGAGAAGACGATTTTCTAACATGTCTTTGTCATGTGCGGTTGCACCTACCAGGCTGTTTTTCAAGCTAGGACCGTGTTTTCGAGGAGTTAATGTCGTCAGGTTCAACCAATCATCTATGCCATCTTCGTACTCAAAGTAGGATGTTAAACCGTCGAAAATCGGTACAATCTTTGGAGTCATCCTAACTTAAGATGTCTCGGGAACCTGTGCTACGTACGCATCTAGCCTACGATGTCCTACCGCTAGAGCGGTTTCAGGACTTATTGGTGTCTAGGCTTAATAATACGTAGCGCTACCATCTAAATAATAGTCTAATTCATGGCCTTCTTCTAAATTCTCGCTATCGCTCATTGTGTGTCAACTATAGCGGCTCTACGCGAACGAAGGTACGCCGAAACACACCCGTTAGTTCGGGATTTCTAAAGCAACGAAACTCCGCTACCACTTTAAGGGTAGAATCCCCCCGCAATGGAGCGTGTAATCAACAATATCAACCTAGATCGGCTTACAGGCTAACAAACCCACAAGAACGTGCGAGCGAAAGCGAACTAAGCGGCTTTTATATCGCACAATGTACCTTAAGCCAAATGTAATGGCCGGTCGTATGCATTACGTAAAAACATATCATAACATAACCACATAAAGCAACATGGGAAAGGAAGAGAAAGGAAGGGAAAAGAAAACGAAGAGAGGAGTGGAACGGGAGAGGAAAACGAAGAGAAGGAGAAGAAAAGGAGGAGAAGGAAAAGAATATAAAGAAGAGAAGAAAAGGAAAAGAAGGAGAGGAATATAAAGAAGAGAAGAAAATGAGGAGAAGGAAAGGAAAAAGACCAGAGGAAAAGGGAAACGGAGAGGAAAAGGAAGAGAAGGAAAAGACCAAGACATAAAGAACATAAAGAGGCGTACAGAGAAACAACAAACATGGAAATCGCTGCGGTTGTCCCAAATAATATCTTCTTTTTGTTTCGCCCGGGCTTGTGAGCCATGTTCTGTTTGAACTGATCGGGTGTTCAAAACCGGGCACACTTTCAAATAGAAGATTCTGACAACCATTTTTTTTTCCATCTTAGGCGTCCGTAATATATATATATATTGTGTATATTGATAATATCATAGAAATAGTATTCATTAATCTATAATTTCTAATTTGATGTGTAATTGTTTTCAGCTGTGAGCTGCTGTACAATGGTGTATTTTGATCTTTCATTGTATTTCGATTTCTTTGACGTCCTGTCCAAGTTACGAACAGGAATTGTCTCCATGTCACATTTCATATGTTGCTTAAATGTCAAACAATTCAGCAAACTAAAATATGTCCTCTCTGATTCTGCCATCGGGTGTCGTTGTCCGTGTGATGATCTGCATGAAATGCTTCCCTTTTCTTTTCACCTTGGCCACTGCAGGGCATCGGGCTATCTGAACCCTGACCATGACCGTTATTTCGTCACTGCCCCGTGTGATGACAAAATCAACTTTAGATGAAGCTTGTGCTGGATTGAGATGTGGAATGATGGGGAGTGTTTTAAACCTCTCTTGTTGCCTAAATTGTAATTCAACATTTCAATCCATTTCACTTGTATTCTCTAGCTTTGTTCTTCATAGCTGAGAAGATACCAAGTACTTTAGGAAGTCTTGGTCACTAGAAACTTGTGGATCCAGCTGCTCTTGGTCATGGCCTAATTTTGGAGCATTGCAAGGAATGCAGGTGGCTCGGGAAAAGCTGAACTTCTCAATTTTGTATCAATTGTCTTTGCAGTCCGGTGATGCAGCAATTAACGCAGAATGTCAACGTGCTCTGGTGAGCCTACAACATGTGCATGTCGCACATGGTTTGTGAACTCAAAAGTTGGGTTCAATCTCACTCCATCCAGCTGTGAAATTGGCACAACGAGACAACAAACAAAACAACTCAATGTGTCCCCGTGCCGATGTGGCCGCTTGGGCACTAGCTTCAAGTTCGGGACACTTCCTCATGGGAAATCAATGACAGGTAGCATAAGGTAGTGAAAGGCCACGACCCTGAATTCCAAGCCAGATCACCAACAAAGTATGCACTGTCGGCAGGAGCTTTGGAAAATTATTCATTCCGTGAAATTGAAATTACTGTAATGCAAGCAAGTTCTGCGAGTTTGCCCGCGAGAAACGAAAAAGGAACATCAACATAAATCAACAATGCTGTGCCTAATTCAGTGCATTTTTCTCTTGAAGAGCTCCTCTGAGGAGTTACAAAGTTATGCCAATGTCCTTGTATGTCCTTCCTCTCCAAAATCTGTAGGGCTGGATCTGTGACTCTGCCAGGTCTGCAAGAAGGCTGATGGCCCTGATGGCCAAATGCCGACGGCCGTCTCGCTCACAAGCTGCGATCACTGCGCAACAGGTCACAGCATCGGGTGCTGCGACCTGCGACCCTCGCTGCATCTGGTGAAAGATTGAGAGGGCGAACTCCCATTGCCAAGCTTTCCCAAATGCACTGATTAAAGAAGTGTAGGTCAGTAGATTTGGAGAAACACGATCTCTCCACATCCAACAAAAGAGCTGTAAAGATTGTTGCCATGGAGCAACTCCTTCGCATGCACTCATTGCTGTGCAAAAGCTCACAACACTGGGCAACAAATGCTGACGTTGACATTGGCTTAACAAAGTCAATGCCTCCTGCCAAAGGGCAGCCCTGGAGCAAGCGCTTATGGCAGTGCCAAATGTGCTTTCTTGCGCATGCAGGTCTGTCTGACCAAAGAGAAAAAGGGCCAACTCCCACTGACCCCCTTTCTCGCAGGCACTAATGACCGAATTCCAAGTGATCTCGCTCGCTTTCACTTTTCCAGACCTCCAAAGAGCCAGTGCAATTTGCCACTGACTGGTGCGTGCACAAGCTGTAGTGACAGCTGTATAGCTGAAAGCATCGGGGGCCAAGAGTTTTGCTGGCATTTCACTGAACAAGCTAAGAGCAAGCTCCCATTCGCATCCGTTTGCTGAGGCAACAATGACTGGATTGTAGCTGATGGCATCCACTTGCAACCGCAAGGTTGACATTGAGGCAAGCAGGCTGCAGGCAATTGGCCACCGGCTAGCCTTTTCGCAGCTGCTGATTGCAGCACTGAAGCTAATCTCGTTCGGCGTCACGTCTTCTCGAAACATGCATGAGAGCAAGTCCAATGCTGTGATCCACTGGTGACCTTTCTCACAAGCACTGATACTTGCTGAATAAGAGATTTGATTGGGGGTCACTCGCAACTGAATGGAGCTCTCCAAGAGCTCAATGACTACTGGCCACTGGATGCCTGCAGCACTGATCGCTGCACTGAAGGTAATCACGTCGGGTATCAGCTGCTGAAGACTCATAGTTCCAAGAAGATCAAGCGCTCCTTGCCAGGAATTCCCCCGTTCACAGGCCGTGATGGTTGTGCTGTAGCTGATCTGATCTCGAAAATCCAACTGATCGAACACCATGAGTGCTTTTTCCCAAGCATCCTGACCAGCACATGCTGACATGGCGGTGTTGTAGGACACTTGGCTTGGCCTGAGCTCTATATTTTGCATGGTGGTTAACAGTTCCAGAACTTGTTGCCAGTTGGCTGCCCCCATGATGGAGTTGAAGCTTACTGTTGTGGGCCGCAACTTCTTCGAGGGCATTTGACCCAGAAGCAGCAGTCCCACTTCCCAGTCCCTTCGACTGGCTGCCAGCATGGTGTTGTAATGGATGGTGTTCACTTCGAGACGCTTGTCCAGCCTTAGTGCCAATTGAAGACTTACTAAAGACTCATGAAGAATAGGAGAATAGGAGGGCATGGCCTGGCAAACGCTTGCGCTTTGGCAACAACAAAATATATCCGTGCCTTGTTAAACAAGGCAAAACAAAAACAGAAGGGCACATTAGTTGCCAGTGCAGCTGGGCATCATGAGTTGCAGAACCTCACGGGTTTGGCGCGGTGCACAGACAGCCCTTGGTGCTCCACAACGCCCCACAACCCCTCACAATACCTCAACCTGAACCTCGGTAAGCGCGTCCAACCGAGTCCAACCTCATGTGTCACTCAGTGTCATCTTCCGTGACATGCGGTGAAACCGGCCCATGGCCTCCAACCTACCAGCGATGGCCTCCCATGATGCCCCAGTTTCATGCCGACCCGTGATGAGTTGATGCCGACGGCCCGGTCCCAGCGGGGCCTCCAGCGCCAGGTCCCAGCGGCTCTGACGTGCCAACCGCTTCAGCACAGCTGTCGCTTCGGGCGGTTGCCATCGGTGGATCTCTTCCAAGCCCCAAACCTATCATGAAAGAAGAAGGTTCAAATAGATCCTAGGGGATCCCTTGACTTGACATGTCGTATCTGGAGACACGTATGAATTCACGGTCTACGCTGTAGAGAGGGCTTGAAAGCATTTGCAACTCAAACCTCTCACCTGCCAGACTCCGCAAGAATCGCAATTCCGAGAGCAGTCCAAGACTATGAACAATTCAGTGGGCCTCCTCCTGCAGGGTTGCACACGCTGCGGACGAGAGCATGTGAACCACAAATATCCCTGAGCTGCGCTGTGCAGGATGCAAATCGTTCATTGAGCGTGAACCGTTGAGAAAAACGAGAACCAACACATGGACCTAGAACGGCGTGATGTCCACCAAGGAGGCTCCGTATTCCATTTCAAGAGGAATCTACAAGATGTGCTCCTGATCAAACTCTGTCACTTTTTCCGAGCCGCGCTCAAGACTCATCAGACCTGACATTATGAGATTGCCCTTCATCCCACGGACCTTGCATGCAGAGTGGGGGTATCTCCGTCAAGACTGGTTCTTCTACATCAGCATGCATGTTCATTTGCTATACATTGCGTGAAACGCTGTGAATTCTGGCAGCTGGCCAAAACCCTACCTACCTTTTGGTTCGAAGCATACACCAGCTCAAATAACTCGGTGCAATGTGGCTGGGCACTGAGATGTGGCCAGCTGCCAACTCTTTTAATGATACAGCGGCAATAAGACATTGCATGCTCTTGAACGGTGTGTGCTATTCTTTTAGCACCTGTGAAACAGTCCGCCTTGTTTTCAGGCGAGGAATTGACCCTTCCCAACTCCTACTCCGAGAACTCCACAGACATTTCAGGTTCCTGATTGGTCCATGTCACCATCGACTCTAATGGTGACACGCATGAAGGACAATGCATGAAAATTCATGTCTGTGGACCTCGCGATTTTTTTTCACCGCCTCAGAATCTGTCGCTGTTGGGCTTCGAGGTCGCGAGTGCGTTTCCCAAGGACCTCCAGCACTGTGGCCTCAAGCGTGCCGAAGCGCTAAGCGTGTTCTTTGCTCCAAAAAAGCCTTCATAGGTCCGAAAATACTTTTTGGGGCAATCTAGTGAAGGTGGCAACAAATTGGAACCCTCCCTGTAAGACGGTGGTGGCCCAGTCATGCAAAAGGCTGCCCTGGTGTAGTGCTTTTTGTGTGCAATGTGAAATTTGGTTCAAGTCGTTTGGCCCCTTGTTTTCCCTCCAAAAATACAACAAGAAGCATCCACTCAATAAGAGTCTTCAGTGGACCCATCCTATGTCACAATAGTTTTGACCGGCCCTTTCACATTGGCAACTACCGATCTGTTCCTGATAGCAAATACAGGCTCCGGACCGAACCCACACGGAGCCAATCACCTCCAATGGCCCGCTTCACAACAGGACGCCGACTTCAGGTTACATGTTCCAACCGGATTTCTCCACCGAAGCTGCCACATTGTTCAAGACATCCATGGACTCGGACATCTCTCCGAAGAGCACACCCCGAGCGCCCTTGGTTCGCTCCACCACGCCAAAAGCCACATGGCGTGTAGCATCGATGACCAAATCGATTCCTTAGAGTCCCCGAGTTGGACGAGTTGGACGGCCTGCGTCGAATGGGTGCTGTGTCCTGTGTTCTAGATTGGTTCGCAGGTCGAAGGTGCTGGCAGTCTCGTTGAGAGACGACACTGCAAACACATCGAGCATTCAACACATCGAGCACAGACACCAGTCGTGTTCAGACCTCGGGTGATCCCCAGACCTCTGGTGCATGTCCAAACGAGAGGCCCTCGTCTGTGAGGTCCTGCTCAGTAGGCTCATCATCCATCACCGGTGCAAAGAGATTGTCTTCCTTCTCGCGCAGCTGGTCAGATGATCGAAGTGGACCTAAAGAAGTGCGGGGCACGGGTGAAAGAAAGGCAACATTCATCCGACCAGTTGTTTGGTGGGATCCAAAGCATCCTGGAGAACGAGAGACCCCCATGTGTTCACTATTAATGTACAGTTGCGACCAGCTCATGTGTACAGTTGTCTACAAAATATCGACCTAATTCGACCTACACGTGGAAGTCGAAGCCTTCCGCACCTCTACAACAACACATGGTAAGGTTTTTAGATGTTAGGGTTTTGAAACCCTAAGAGTGATGGCCTCCAACCTAATCTTTCTTGTTGAATAACAATTCCTGATCATGATTGACCCTGGACTCCCAGAAAAGCAAAAATGCGAACAGCGCTTCTTTCAGCATGACTTTCTTGAAGGCAGTCTGAGACTGGATGGCCCCTTTCTATCAAGAGCCAACGGATGATGGAGTGTGTTTTGGGGTCCGCTTGCCTAATCCTCACAGTTCCTCATAGCCCCTCACAGCCATATTGCAATAGCAAGAACTATCCGTACGATCTATACGTCCAACTACCAAGTAATGCTGGAGGGCATTGGTAGCGATTGGTAGTAGTGGGAGGCCATCGCTAGTAGGTTGGAGGCCATTGCTCTTAGGTTGGAGGCCATCCCTAGTAGGTTAACTCAAAAAAGGATTGCTTTGTTTAAAAGCGACGCTTAACTTGCAGCACATGGGCCGAGATCGGGCTCTGAGGCATCGCTGTCAGACTCCTTGTCCTCCATGGCCACCGTGGCCAGTTGACGCTTGGGGCGGCGGCCCCATGCACTGCTGCCAGGACCCAAGGCCAAACTCATATCTTCCCTTCGTAACCTCGGGATCTGTCAGTTCTCTTCATTTCAGTTCTCTTAAAGACCTGAACCACACTGAAAAAAAATACTGTCTGGGCTGAATTTTGTGTGAGGGGTTGAAAGGGTTTGGGAAGATGTCGGTCTTTGGTCCCTTGGTCCTTTCATATTTCCATGAAGCTTGAAAACCCTAGAGCTACCCTAGAAATAGAATCAATTCCTGGGGAAAATTCCTGTGAGCATATTAGGAAGCCAAATTTATGCTTCTCCCTTGGAGATATTATGTGTTGCAGCGATGGAACTCCGCTAAGCCAGCTTAGCTAAGTTGAAGAAGCAAAAAGTGTCTGGGTTGGACCAAGTGTCTTCATCTCTTTAGCAAGCACCATATCATCTCGCGCCTTCTCCTTCAACTCAATCCGCTTCTGTCTCCTCATGAGACGTGAGTATAGGCCTGGGAAACAGCTCCGGAACTGCTTTTCCAGCTTCCCACCGCGGTTCAGGGCCTCAGGCAATGCTTTCTTTTCCAGAAGCTGTACTGGTCAACTATGCAACTGCAGTGTAACTGTACTGGGGATACTGGCCACAAATGCTCCGTGTCTCCATCGAACTATATATAAGAAAAGACTGTATCCATCCATTTCATTCCATTTCCTACAGTCCTTCACTCACGGCGGCCCTTCCTCAGTCTGGGTTGTAGCGGAATCAACGTACGAATGGTCGGTGTACGGATCTATATACATAACTTATTTAGATTTTAGATCAATATGTGTACAATCTGCAGAAGAGCCTTTGTATATTTTGTAAACGTGGTCAAGGTTTCATCAACCACGTGCCTTCCAGGTGTCGTTGATACGATCTCCCATCACGGCCCATTTCTTCTTCTGCTTGGCATCCTCTTCCATCTTTGCATCCGACAGGGTGCTGACAATAATGGCATAGAACAGGTTCATGATCACGAAGAAAATGCCCACCACATAAATGATGATCAATAAGGAACCCAGAAATGGAGCCACTTCATAGATCACCGAAACGTCGCTGTTCCCCAGGATCGTCAGCATGATGAAAACAAAGGCCTCAATTCTGATGATCGTCGCTAGTTTAATCAGGCATTGCTGACTGGCCGCATCCAAACATCCAAACACAATAGAGTAAATCGGAAGTTAATGGTGAACTGTTGTGTATAAAATATTGTTTTATACATGGTTGTTTGGAACTGTTTTGAAGTGGCTTTTGACGTCCATGATCATATCGCACGGCTATCGCACCTATACAGCCTTTCTTGATGCGTGCCTGAAAAGGAGTACGAAGAGCGGACACATCCGCGCCAAAGGCAGTACTAAAAGCCAATACGAAGCCAGTGAGAGTGCAACAAAAGACCACGATCCAAGATCCAAGGTTGACCTGCGATATGGAGACAGTCTGCATGAAGGTTGTCACATAGGGAATGATGTTGATGTATTTCACTGCCTTGAACCACGTCAAAATGGTGTTGAAGGCCACCAGGCTGTGCACTTGACGTATGTTTGATGATACTCCATGAAAATTGGAATACATGTCGCGCGTGACAGCATTCCAATCAGCTGGAGAGATCACGTAAAGTGCTCCTGCTTTCGCCCAGGTGTCAATCTTGTAGCAAACAGTGATAATCATCATTATAAGGTTAAACCAATCCAAGATGTTCCAGGCATCCAAAAAGTAGTCCCACTTGATGGTCAGCCGCATCTTGCCGTTCTTGGATTCAAAGCCAACGAATTCTGCAGCCTCCTCCAAGACATAGCGGATCACAAAGAGCAGAAGTGCTGCCTCCAAGATGAGGAAAAGCCAATCCTGAGGTCAACCAGCCCATGACCAAAACACGTATCAAGTGATTGAACAACACCTGAAAATGTGCGTTTTGATTGAACATATCGCTGTCCCGTTCTCACCAACCGTTCCCAAAGACCAGTCCTCTGTTGACCCGGAGCCCAGTGGTTGCAAATTCCGTTGCATCAACACATCGATCTCAAAGGTCTGGGTCCAGTCGCCCGCCGCAGCGATCTCGAAGACGATGCGGCACACGCCGTAAAGACCCAAGTTGAAGTTGTAGATTGTGAATTCCTAAGGAAAGGAGCCCATCGCTAGTAGCAAGTGCATCGCTACTAGTAACAAGGGCCTAGTAGCAAGGGCATCGCTATTAGGTGGGAGGCCATCGAGGGCTCCATGGTTGGTGTCTCGTGTGCCCGCACGAGGCCAGCCTAGGTGGGTAGCCCTAGCGGGATGCTTCGCTTGCCATGGTGGAACGCCCGCGCCCTGCATCTTTGAGCATCTACGGTCTGAATTGCCTGGATCGAACTGTTGCTCTCGCCGTTGGCTACGTAGACCCTAAATCCACGTCGAGGGCATGGGCCGACCAGCTGGGCTACTTGGTCACAGCCACCTTCCTGAGTACCTCGATGGAGGTCGGGGTGGATGTGAGGTGGCCACAGCCGGAAGTGAGGTGGCAACCCTTTTTGCACTTTGAATGCGCGCGGCGTAGTGGCAAGGAAAGACGTGGCCGCCAACTTGCTGTTGTTCCATGCGAAGGCTTGGGTTGTGTACGCCTGTGGGGTGTCAGGAGATGCCAGAGTACCAGCGCTCTTGTCGTGTCTCTTTGCCCCTTCAGCGTGGTGAGTTGCGTGAATGGCTGCTCCGGATGTGGCGTGAGTGGCTTGATGCAGCATTGTCTCCCGTCCTCTGTGGTTTGCAACTGGCGTGCAACTCGGTTGGCTGGCAGCTGGACCGCTCAAAACGATACAGTTGCGGCCTTTCTTCACCTCCTAGTGCCATTTTGGCCGGAGGTTGAAGGTAGAATTCAGCTTTTGATGTGTCCCGCCTAAGTGGCTTTTGGTGCAAGCCTCATGCATGCGAAGCCAAGACCAAGAGCCACATGGCTCAGTACTCGCGAAAGGGAAAAAAGAAAAAGGAGGCCATCGCTGTGGTTTTCTGCGGTTTGTCGTTGTGTCGTTGTGCGTCATCGTCAGCTTACCATGTCGAAGCATCACCACCCACACACACTAAAAGAATGCCTCCTCACGAACAGTGGAAGAGGTATGAAGAGGTATGAAGGGGTTGTGTATGGATGTGTGCGTGTACATATCAAAGCAACAGTCTTTGGCTGGGAAGGGCTCGACTGCATTGCCCCAAGTCTGCATGGGAAGGAAACAGCGACACCAACAGCATGTCAATACAACACAAATGCCAAAAAAGATGTTTTCTCGATGAGGCTCGAGGAAAACCACTCTGGTCTTTTCACTCAAAAAGCCGTCGGTCCGCATGGTGTAGAAGTTGGCATTGGTGGTGAGATAGTCAGGAGTGAATGTCTCGATGTATCCTCCGGGTGGATAAGTTGCAAGGATTCCAGTATAACTCTCCCCCTCAGGATCTCCACCAAAGGACCAGGAAGGCACGCCCTCATCATTTCCGGGGCCGTATCGCTCCCGATCTAATGCATGAAGACTGAAGGGTCCGTAGCAAGTTGGGAAGTAACTCTGAAACTGCTGTGCCACCCGGCAATCTGCATTGGGCTTCACGTTTAAGGCACGCACCCTTCCCATGCCATAGAGATAGTTTGGTCCATCTACTTGTAACCACGTGGCCACCACCGCTCCAGGGTATGAATACTTGGCAGTATCTTGCCCATAGATGGCGGGCATGAAGGACTCATTGTGATATCTCCAAAAGCTCTCTACTGAGTAGACATCCTTTAGAGGAATTGCTGCTGATGAATCAAACCGCTTCCGCAAATAGCCCTCAAAGGCTCGCATCTTGTATAAGGGTTCACTCAAGGCCAAGGAGGTGAAGAGGAGCAAAAATAGAACGAAAAGCACAGTGTTGAAGGTTGACCGAAGCAAGGCTTTTAGCCCGCTTTTCTGCTGAAGTAGCTCATTCACTCGCTTCTCATCGACTAAAATGGCTAGCCCTCCTGGTGGCGCCGCCATGGCTTCTCTATGTCGGCTGCATGTTCTTCTTCATTAATTTCGGAAGAAGGAGCCGAAGCGTGAGTGGGTTTTCGGATAATCTTGACCTCTGACTTTGTGTTAGCTTGGCTAAGGGCGTTGAACAGCTTTGCAACGTCTGGGCTGCTGAGGTGCTGAGATGCAGAGCATTGAAGAATGTTTGGGTTTTTTTTCGTTTCGAGAACCATGGATCTCAGGGGGCTGAAGCCCCACCACTGTGGACGAACTACGGAACTTTCGAGCCCAAACATGTGAGGGATCATCTCAGCAAATCATCGAGGGCAAAATGTTCGGTTCCAAGTGCTCCGAACGAAGAAACCTCACGAACTCCTGCCAACATGAGACAACGACTCAACGTGACTCGCGTGGAAACGAGAAAATCGTAATCCAGCTGTGACGCATGCAAGACTAAAGCAAGACTGCAACCAAAAAACATGGTAGGCTTGGGATCCAGATTCGTTTCCCCAATTCAATGATACCTGTAGTCTTTGCTTGAGTACCAATGTGGACACACTAACTTCCGAGTTCTGATAATTAGTTCCTACGTGCCCGTTTGTCGCAGCTGTGGGCGTCTTGAGGGCCCCTGCGACTCGCTGCTCCACGCTTTGACCCTGTCTTGGACCCATACCTACAGCACCAAGCTCTTCGCGAACTTAAAAGATCAAAATCGAAGGTCTTCTGATAAAGCATTCTTAATTCTCATAAAGAAAGCATTCTTGCTCGTGGCAATAACATATGCCGTCAAGTCCAAAGACCCCTCCTTCAAAAGTGTTCTTGCTGCTGAGGGACTGGGACTGTATTCGATGGGAGCTCGTGGGCAGCATTGCTATATATATATATATGTGAAAATATATTAATTACAAAAAAAAATATATATATATATATTATAGTTATATATACCTCTTGCATGATGGCATCTGATGGTTTTCTCAGCTTTGCCAATCTTTTGCTCAGGCTTTCGGCCTCCAATGTCAAAACCACGAGCACTGAAGGGTTCAAAGTTAAAGCCCCCGAACGCAGCGAACGGATCTCCTGGCCATTTAAAATCCATCAAACACCTCAAACGCTGTCCTCAAAACTGAAAAAGGAAGCACCAACAAAAACACTCTGTTTACAATGAGGGTGCTTCACATGCGTTTCACGTCAAAAATCCACCGCAAGCGTTGCGGTTACCTCCTGGTTGTCCATCCTGTTGAAGCACCTCCGCAGGAAACCTCGAACAAACAAAAATCGGCACACACTCTGCAGAACCAAGGGTAACAAGAAGCTACTAGTAACAAGTGCCACGCTAGTAGTAACAGGTGCCTTACTAGTAGTAACAAGGAAGCCACTCTGCAGAACCTTCTCTGGGCTTCGTTGCCACACTTCCTTCTCGACACCAGCCACGCGAATCTTAACCGTGTTGTCATCGTGATCAACCTGTGAGTGGTGCGCTGGCTGTATCTGGCTTGCTTGCTAAAAATAGAATCTCTATGTCTATACTCTATACAGTATGCAAAAACTTTGACATTATTTACTATATAATGGACATACTTGATAGAGATCAGATACCAACATATACAAAGTATGTTCATTGTCCAACCGACCGAATCCTAGTGAGGCTGGCCCAAACCTGAGATCCTGAGCTTCTGTCCACCCCTGTTTCGGACAGGAGCTGGGACTGTTGAAGAGTCAATGATCCGTCTGATCTAATGGAACTTCTACAGTACCATCTTCCACCGGCCTCCAACCCAAAAGGCCAAGGCGGCCCCAGTCGAAGCCCGAATATGGCTACAGCTGTGGAAGAGGGCAGGTGGAAGTTCCAACAAACACTCCCCGTCGCTGAAAGTGGGTCGAGATGCCTTGGTCACACGGCCTGCTTTCCCCAAGGCTTTCAGCCTGGAAAGGGCCGGGCAGGGCTTTCCCGCCTCTAAGGCACACTTGGGGAACATGGAAGATCGATGAAGGTCGATGATCCATAGGAAGGAATTGATGCGACGATGTTGGGTCTCTTTCTCTTGATGCGTCCCCTTGTGAACCTGCCTGAGGGCGTCATTGGTAGAATCAATGCCTGCTTTGCGGCATGAGGCCACCACCAAGTTCCGGTCAGGAGACACCTGCGCATCTCTTGCCCACGTAAGGTTTTGAGCTCCAAATCTGGTGCTCACCTATTGGGCAGTTGGATATATCTGGGCAGCCCAATAGCGTTTGAATCAACTGAGGATGTTGGAAGCACAAGACATGCAAGGCTGAGCACAAAACACGATGAATAGATTGAATAGGACTAGGATCAAACCAGCCTTCACTATGGAGCCAGGGCGCAGGAATGCACCATTCTGCCAAGTGCTGCGTATCAACGTATGTTTCGACATGTTTCGACCTTGCTTCCGGGCATGTTTGAACTCGTCCACCGACGTCTCAAACGCTGCGGACGTCGTGAAACCCAACGCTGGGTGTGCAGTTTTCCCAACGCCTGGAAGAAGAGACCGCTCATCATCTGCAGAAATGGTTTGGATGAGAAACTCGATGAAACTCGTTACATTGACACAAGGAAGCTGGATGAATTTACAAGCACCAGTTCCGATGACACAAACATTTGTAGAATATCCTTCAGAATATCGCAGAGTACTGTTTGCTCGCTCCTGGTTTGGTCTTGCATTATCTTGCATCCCAACTGTGTCTAAAGATACACGTCTTCGTCTTCCAAATTGCATTCCAAGAACACGACATGAAACATCATGCGTTTACTCGAAGAAGGCATTTCGCAGCATCTCTCTCACCTCCCGGAAACTAGAACTTCCGAAGACCTCAATGACTCACATAGTAGAAACAAGTGCCACGCTAGTAGTAACAAGTGCCTTACTAGTAGTAACAAGAAGCTACTAGAAACAAGTGCCACGCTAGTAGTAACAAGTGCCTTACTAGTAGTAACAAGAAGCTACTAGAAACAAGTGCCACGCTACTCTTTCATCTCAGACTGGCTCGGCCATGTCACTCGTGCTTGGCTGTTTGTCACGGGCATTGCCTGGGGCTCCATGCTTGTCGGAAGAGTTCCTCAGCTGCCGCCTTGGGATCAATCATCGCTCCGGCCAAATTTTAGGGGCGCCATGTTGTGTTTCTGGAGGAAAACACACTGATGTGTTTTCGACAAGAAAGGTACATAAAGGTGTCTCGAACAGGTACTATTTTGCGGGAGTCTCGAGCACCCTCTTGGAGGGTGTGGAGTTGGCACAGCCTCGAGGCGAGCTTGAGGCTCGGCTGCTATTCGCATAGAGCTACTGCCGGCGACTGCCCTACTGACGAACCAACAGGTGGAAAAACACCCTGGAAAATGTCAAGGAGTCAGAGCGCTGTTGAAGCATGAGCAAATGAGCTTCTTTCGCACGCTCAAATGTGCAAAAAAAACAACAGACACTTGTTGTGTGTTCTGAACTCCTTCGATCATTCTACCCAGGAGTGCCACAAAGTCCTGTCATTGAGGAGCTTCGCTCTTCGTGTCAAATGGCAAACCCCGCCGCTGGAGCGCCGGAGAGCTGGACTATGCTGGACTCATAGGGTAGACGACAGTCTTTTCTTCGGAATCTGTGATGCATGGATGGCCCTGGCAAGACTCACCGTTTTTCACGCCGTGTTTCGACGGTGCTCATAGACTCATAGTGATGCCAGGTCCAATCAAATAATTAAGAACATTCAGTAACATTCAGAGGGAAGAAGGATTCCGAAACATGTCTCTAGTGCTTCGAAAACCCACTTGAGATGCTTTCAAGAACTCTGATGTCTGATGCGATGCTGCCATGCTTGAATCAAATGAGACAAAGAAATCAAACAAATTGCGAACATCCACCCCTACCAAGGTCTATCGGTCTCCTGAACATGGTTTTCCACTCATTGTCCCACTGGGATGGGCGGCTTTTGCTTCTGCCTCGGATCAGATTCGCCCACGAACTCCAATGCGATCGGATCAAATCATTCGATGGCGGAATAAACCACAAACCGCGATCAGTTCCGGACGAGATCCAGCGAGCTCCTCGCACCACAAACCACATGCGATGGCCTTCAACCTACTAGGGATGGCCTCCAACCTACTAGGGTATGAAAAATATGTGTTTGTCAATTGGGTGGAACTCCGATTACACTGAAAGATACTGGAAGTGCTGGAACACCTTCCACCACAACATTTAATTAATAAATACATTATTGGCTGAACGGTTCAGAGTTTCTATGAGTTTCATAAGGTCTCCCAAACTTCAAAAATGATCTTCCTCATTTGTTCTCTTTCTCATACACCTTGCAAAGCCACCCAAATGGTGACTCCGAGTTCGTTCTCCTGCCGTTGTTGGTCCACCTCATCGAAAAAACTGGGAAGTTTATAAGTCCCAGGAGGAGGAGCTCTCACCTGCATCCTCGGAGCGTGAGGGCTGGTAAGAACTGAAGATGGGATGAATGATGATATAATGATGATGTAGATTTGGTTTGATTTGGCTCAATTGGATTGTTTTTTTTTTGAACGATTTGGTGACCTCTCTCGCCTCTCAGCTCTCTCATCTCCATCGATCTTGCACGATTTTGGAACAGACTACCCATTGGAAGCGAACCACCCACTGGAATCAAGCCGCAAAGGATGGCAAAGGATAAAGATACCATACAACACGTATGTGGGACACTGTCGGGCACACAAACATGCACAAACTCTTGGTAGCAGGCCGCTTTTCCCGCACTGCCTCTTGTGCGGCCTTAGTGGGTGTGGTGTTGCCTAACCACTGACATCAGACTTCCTATCTAGGATTTATGAAATTGTTGTTTCTCTTCCCTCCACTTGCTCAGATCACTTCCAAGAAATCCAAGAGCTTGGCTCCCTTTGGCATGGACCAGGCCGAGGACGACTTCATACACCTGAAAACAGAAAGTGCCTTGTCATGTCTTGCACTAAAATTCCACACAAAAGACAGAACAAAGGGTCTGAAGATCTAGAGGACAACGAAATGCTGTCGGTGCTCTTAAACTCCAACGAATGGAATGACCAAGGATCTCGCACTCGGCGACTTCGTGTGAGCTCGTCGCAAGAGGAGTACTGTCCTGGGCCTCAAATATGTCTTTCTGATTCTTTCTGTATCGTTTTAGTCGACCTCGATGACCGGCAAAATAAGGCACAGGCAGGTTTCAATATTCTTGTCATGCAAACCTGGCATTTGCCAGGTGACAAAAACGTGCGAACACCTCTATGCAACAGTGGGTTCCACAACTGTCAGTTCTCACGAGACACATCGGGCATTAATAAAAACCAACAATTCCGACATTCCACCACGATGCTCACATGTCGGTAATAATGCATAGATGGCATCATAAATCATCCAACAGAGAAGAGAGCTGAGAAGAGAAGAGAGCAGGCTCTATTCGCGACCGGCCCGACAGAGCTCGAACCAACCACTTCGGCGCAGGCTGGGCAAGTTGGCGAATCACGAACGCACCCAGCCCAACAGGTTTCGTCGGTTCTGCAAAGGGGTTTCCTCAAAGAACAGCTGCCAACTTCAACTGTCCAACCATCACCATCACCATCACCATCACCGTCACCCCCACCCCCACCCATACCCCCACCACCACCACCACCACCACCAGCAGCAGCATCAGCATCAGAATCAGCATCAGCATCAGCATCATAATCATAATCATAATCATAATCATCATCATGGTGTAAAAATGCAGGTGATGCAACTGCTACAACACAGCGACGTCATCATCAATTTCACCTTCATCTTCATCCTCCTCATCATCAACCTCATCATCCTGGTACAGGTGCAGAGATGCAGGTGACGCAAGTGCTACAACACACCTACACAGATATAGGATGGTTGGAGACACACGTTGAGATACAGGTGTTTAGATAGGTACAGGTGAAGGCACCTACAAATCCCACCTACACAACGACATGTTCGACATCTTTCTACTAAGCTTCTCTTAAGGCGGCGGGCTGGTCCGGCCGACGCTCACAAAACATGACCCTCTGCGAAGATCGCGCGTGTCGGATGTGCGAAACGGGAGTTTGCGAATCGACGTGCGCCGCGGAGGGCCCTCTTCGGAGTCGTGCAAGTAGCGTCCTTGTTCCTAGTAGTAAGGCCAGGAGCCCCTAGTAGCGTCCTTGTTACTAGTAGCGATGCCAGGA